ACATTTCTGAACGAGTTCTGTGAACTCCTTGGTGCTCCGTGGGTAAACAAATTACATTTACAATTACAGAAAATTACATTTACAGGATCAGATTATGAATCCATATCCCAAAAGCAATGCTGCCTCTCTGCAACATAAAAGTCAAAGTCATGACATTTTCCACAAGTTTTGATTCCACAGCGGTACTCTGTTGGTTGTCCATTGTCATCTTGTCCTTGGCAGAACTTCAAGTGGCAAGGATACCAACTAATACAAACTTCAACTCTACAAATGCACTCAGCACTGAGTTCAGATGTATCCTTGCAACGTTTTAGCAACTTTGTAAAACTTGACTGATCCTGTGATTCCAACTCAACTTTCTCAAGATCTTCACGTGTTGAATTTTCTGTTAGGGAAAAAAGGTGAGACATTATTATGTTTTGATGTAAACAATATATTCGGTAAGAAAGTACATGCTAAAAGACATACTATATGACTCAACAAAAAACACCACCAGTGTTCTTTGAGCTGTTAATTTATACTGGTGACAAAAACAAAACAAATTTGTTTCTTTTTCTTGCAGCAATTCCTAAAAGAATGATGAAAACAATTTCCCTGTTTCTATAATTATAGTTATAGTCTAAATACTTATGAAACTTTGGAGAACTTGAAAACCTTGTGGCTGAAGCTCATGTTCCCACACCAGTTTTCAGTTTTCTGAAGTTTTACTTGTGTTGAACTATAATTCAATAGGAACATGGAAAACAAGACCCCTCCCCTGACCATGGTCATTGTTTCAGGTTCTTGGATGAGAACATTTACCCGAGTCACACTGAGTCTCTAAACTTTGGACTTGAACCAATCCATAGGCATTTGTGAACTTGTGGGGTAACTCTAGAATGCTCACACTCCCCTCATGCATCTGGGGTGATTGTGTGTCATGTTCTTGGCCAAGACAAATTTCCACAGGTGCTTTCCACTACTCAACAGTCAAGAGTATAACTGGGTTGCAACATCTCAAGTAACTTCAAGCTACGGAATCTGGGGTCAGCCATGGAAGCATGCACTTCACAAATCTGCATTGTACCCACCTGACAAGAGGAGTTTGGGATTGTCTCCTTTAAACAGCACTTTGCCAGCATCTTTACACAAGTACTTAATGCTGTTATCTGTTGCATTTGTTGAATTCAAGATAACTGCATGATCCATGTTGTAAGATTCACTTCCAATGTCTTCTTCAGGAACTCGGATTGTGCTGGGATTTTTCTACAAATTTAAAAACTCAATGAATTACTACTCATCCTTCATTACATACAATGAAGAAGGGGAGCAGAGGATTGATTTATGGGACATACGATATGCAATAGCTGTTATTGCAGTTGAGCCTGCAGTCAAATATTCTTTTGTTTAAATAGGTATACAAACAAGGGGAACGTGTCAATACAAAGCAAAAATTGACCCTTTCTTCTGGTTTGTATGTCAAATTGCTGATAACTTCAATAACAGCTATCACTGGGGTTTATAGTTTCCTGGTGGCATTGGCTGATCTTTTTACATCAAAAGGAACTACTTCAACCTGGTAAAGGGCAATGGACAAAGAATTTGAAAAACATGGCCTCACCTTTGAAACAGCTGAGTGATGAGCAGAAGATAGCAGAGGACCCTTGCCTCGCGGGAGGGGGGGTACTTCCTTATTTGAGTTATATAGGTATGTGTGAACCCAATGTGAGCCAATTCTAGTTAGCTGTGGTCATATTTGAGGCATGTAGTCATTTTAGAGGTCTGAAATGGGGTATCAATTTTTCGCTGAAGTCTGAAATAGGATATGGAATTTCACAGATTTTGGTCTGAAAGAGGGTACAGGTTTCAAAGTTTAGGCTGCATCCCCACCAAAAACTTTGGGGAGTAACCTCTCCCCCCCCCCCAACCAGAGGACCCTTGCCAAAGCCCAGGTACCGGTACTACTTTTCACACTTTGGGCCATATGTGCATGTTGAGCGAATGCTCAAAAATGTTCCCTCAGAGGAACCTCCATTTTTGTTTGTTAAGGTAACTACCTCGGTTATTTTGTTAAAGGCTAAGGGGATTGTTGTGTCTTGTTGTGTACTTTGTAACAGGGACATCCTAAGAGCAACTTTCTCTCTGTCAGATCAAACTCTCCCATTCTATTTTGTGTCAGCTTTATCATAATTTGTTTTGGTTTATTGGTACATAGTCCCATTCTAGGTTTACCTTCATCCCCTAATGACCACCTCCCCCCAACCCTCTACCCTACCATCCAAGCTTGTCCACACTACTCCAGGAGTCAGTAAAAAAAGTGATCTGGGAAGGAATTGTGACTCAAAAGGGAAATATTGTAAAATTTGGTACAATCGAGCAGAGAGCTCTTTGATGTGTCCAAATTTAGGCTAACAAAATAATGTCAGTGCAGGGCTTATTTTCAGACTTACCATAAATCCTTGAATTTGCACCTCCCCTCAAATAAGCACCCCTTCGAATAAGCATCCCTCTTATCAGCCAAAATCTAAAATATACAACTCCCCTTGATTAAGTCTCCCCTCCCCTCCCCCTGTTGTATGGAATAGTACCGAGCCAACAAAGGATGTATAGTTTTGGTTGTGTTCAATCACAAGCAAGTTATCATTGACTCATTCAAGCACTGCACATTGACCATCATAACAGATGGTTGTGAAGATCTGCTGATTCATNCCCCCCCCCCCCCCCCCCCAACCAGAGGACCCTTGCCAAAGCCCAGGTACCGGTACTACTTTTCACACTTTGGGCCATATGTGCATGTTGAGCGAATGCTCAAAAATGTTCCCTCAGAGGAACCTCCATTTTTGTTTGTTAAGGTAACTACCTCGGTTATTTTGTTAAAGGCTAAGGGGATTGTTGTGTCTTGTTGTGTACTTTGTAACAGGGACATCCTAAGAGCAACTTTCTCTCTGTCAGATCAAACTCTCCCATTCTATTTTGTGTCAGCTTTATCATAATTTGTTTTGGTTTATTGGTACATAGTCCCATTCTAGGTTTACCTTCATCCCCTAATGACCACCTCCCCCCAACCCTCTACCCTACCATCCAAGCTTGTCCACACTACTCCAGGAGTCAGTAAAAAAAGTGATCTGGGAAGGAATTGTGACTCAAAAGGGAAATATTGTAAAATTTGGTACAATCGAGCAGAGAGCTCTTTGATGTGTCCAAATTTAGGCTAACAAAATAATGTCAGTGCAGGGCTTATTTTCAGACTTACCATAAATCCTTGAATTTGCACCTCCCCTCAAATAAGCACCCCTTCGAATAAGCATCCCTCTTATCAGCCAAAATCTAAAATATACAACTCCCCTTGATTAAGTCTCCCCTCCCCTCCCCCTGTTGTATGGAATAGTACCGAGCCAACAAAGGATGTATAGTTTTGGTTGTGTTCAATCACAAGCAAGTTATCATTGACTCATTCAAGCACTGCACATTGACCATCATAACAGATGGTTGTGAAGATCTGCTGATTCATTGCCTAAAGACCGGACTGGCTAAAGGGGTTATATTACATAGTTCCTCGACAGAGACAGGATACTTCTGAGACTTCTGAGGCACTGACACATACATTATTATATTACAAAAAGCCCCATCATATCTGCCACAATTTTGGTAAAATTAAATAAGCACCCCCCTCCCCCCTTGATTAAGCACCTCCTTCAAATAAGCACAACCCTTCTTTTCTTAAATTTGAAATAAGTGCCTCAGGCACCAATTTGAGGATTTGCGGTAAGTGTTGTTTACGAGTGTGATTCAAGAAACTGACTTGTCTAAGTTTTGACATGGCATCTGATGATATGAACTCCTCTTCTTCAAGTTCTGTTACAAAACACATTGCTTCGTATGAACTTTCTGCTCTATCCATTTCTCCCAGGACAATCACTTGGAATATCTTTCGTTTCTGAAAGAATAAAATGAAAGCTTGATTTTCCAGGGAATTACCAAGATTATTTATCAACCAGCAACATTTCATAAAAGCTAAAATGAGGATTCCAAGAGTCTTGACACAAGTACAATACAATACAGGTGAGATGTTTTAAAGAGCGATATAGTTGGATGGGATTTTTTGAAAAGATGTCCTATTTTACATTTTAACTTATTTGTGAATGTTTGCTGAGAGTGTTACCTGTTTCGCTCCCAATCAAGTTCTTACCCCCGAGTTTGCACCCCTAAACTCATTATAAACTTTCTATTTCGAGTTCGTCTTCACCTTCAATGGATTAAAAAAAGAGAATTAAACACTTTTTGTGTGATTTTGTTTCACTATGTTGTCTGTTTTGTTCGGTAAGAGAAAGATAAATTTTAAGCACTTGATCGCTAGTTGAATCGATGTGGGTGCGAACTCGCTTGGGTGCGCACAACTGGCTCCAGCTACCCTTGCTAACAGTGACAAACTTTTCGTGTCTATGGAAATTAACAGTGACAAACTTTTCATCTTTATGGAAATCTCTGTTTTGACGGGAATTCACTGCAAAACGTCTAAACTATCGAAAATGATTTAAGAGTCAATTTGCAATACTTACGCTGAGATAAACAACGGTAAAGGAAAAAGGTAACAGACGGAGGACATATTTAAGCACAAGTTTGAATGCTGAAGGAAACAGTCAGCTTCCTTTATGGATCAGATTACCAAAGCCTATGTGTCGTTTTCAATTTAACTTTTCTTCAGATAGAGTATGACGACTTTGAAAATAATGTTTTTCTTTAACTCATTAAAAGACTGATCGTAATAGTCCAAGCAGCCATCGTAAAAGGAAACTCACCAAACGGAAGTCGATGTAAACTGTTACGAAGCGACCTTGGTTATTCTTGAAATCGATAGTAACGTAGTCTTTCTCGGGATCTGCGAAAAAATTCTGCTGCACTATCTCACCATCTTTAGCTTTGATGTTGACAATGAGATTTAAACTGCAGTTTCGGACCAGAAACACAACCAAAATCATCCCATGCAGCCAAAACGAGGTCTCTCTAACAAACGCCATATTGGTATAACAGGCAATGACCGAGACGGCATGGACTGGGGAGAGACACTTTTGTACCACAGGAAATCCAGCCTGCTTTGTGGCGAGCAGACTGGTTTGGCTAAAATAATTTAATTTTCTCAGCTACATTAGGCATATCAGCTGTCATGATCTTCTCTCTTCTCAGTCTGTTACAATATCGCAACAACCAATGCAGTGGTCACCATTGCATTGTTTGCTGCAACATTGTAACATGATAACTGACAAGTCGCAAGAAAATTCGGCTGATGACGGAGATTCCAGCACCACCGTCCCAGCTGGCTAAAAAAGTCAGATAACCTGCTCAGATAACTTTTTACCATTTTAAAGTGCTAAATGGGAAGGCTTCAGCCCCCAACTCCTCCCCATCCTGTGCAGTCCCAGGATAGTGCTATAATCAGAAAACTGATGCTAGTAAAATATCCAGGTACAACAAAAAAACTCCATTTATCTTCTAAACTCGCCAAGAAAGTCCCAAAGTACCCCCCCCCCTCTCCCCCTGGACGTAGCTCAGCTGGCTGGCCAAGCTAGGGTGTACACCCGGGGGTGTTCCCTCGATCGCATGATCTCAGAGGGTTTTTTTTTTGCATAATCTGACTGTGAGCAGTTATCAATCTAGTTCATTTAATTTATTTTAATGACTCTTCTTGGAGAGCTCAGTGGAGCATGAAATACAATGAACAAATAACGAAGTTTTCAAAGCCCGTAGATCAGCTTGGATTCTTCACCGACTGAAAAACGCTTAAAATTAGTCGCACCTCTATTTTCTAAGCGCTTTTCTAGAAGTTTTGTCTTTCGGTTACAACCGAATTACGAATACCGTGAGTTGACAACACTGCGGCAAGAAGACAGGAAAACTATGGGCGGTTCAGTTAAACGCTTTCAACATTCCGAACATTAATCCAGTTACTGTCCCGCGTTCATAATAAGAAATAATAAAAAACAAATTGTAGATGTTTCTATTAGAAGCTGTTTAGGTTCTCTTGGACTATTCCAACGGTCACACGAGCCCTGACGGATTTTCGGTCACTGTTTCACGTCCTCGAAAAATTGTCTCACGTAAAAAACATTCATGTTTGTGTTTTCCTGCTATTTTTAGCAACATAAATTGGTAATGACCATCGAAGCTTATCGATGAAGTTTCTCGACAAAAATGAGAGTTTGGATTGTTAAAAATGTATATACCAATCCAGCAACTAATTCCATTTTGTTTTCAAACGTTTTTGTTCATTTTTACAAGTAAAACAAATCTTTGATATATGTCATGTGTGTTCCTTGTGTCGACTGGCGTGACTTCCGGTGATTGTAACTTTCAAACATGCGATCGAGGGTCGAGGGTCAGAGAGAGAATATGATATTTTTAGGAAAGCGCCACAGCCGAGGTTTTGGGACAACTCAGCTATTGATCGCGAAAAATATTACGGTTGTCTGATCTTTGAAAATAATGGAAACGAACGAGGCTGTGCATGTCGACGAAAGCGGAGAGCACGACAATGATGTTGAAGGTAAATAGATCGCTTATCCTTAGAGCGCGTGGAACGATCGAGTGATTTTTGACGCGAAAGGCTCTCGTGGAAGGTCGCCCGGTCAAGAAATTATTCCGGAAAAATAGTCAAAAATCGAAAATTAATGTTATTTTCTCTTTTCGAAGCCAGAAAAAATTATGAAATACAAGTAGAAGTGAGTCTTTATTTTTATTTGCGAACCCCAGTGCATGTAAGTTTACCAAATCATTACGAAACTAGTCTATGATCGAGATTTAATAAGGGTCATACGTTGGCGGTTATGGAGATATTTCTGATCACTTTTTGCCTTTGAAGACAGATTGTTTCCATCAAGGTTAAAAATCTGAATCATGCCCTTTTTTAAATTAGGAAATGAACTTCAAGTAATTTGAAAGAAATCACTGATCAATCAGTTACAACATATCGTTTTCGTGTTCAACCGATGGTTTGTCCACTTTTTCTACTTGCCAATCGAACTGATCGGAGAGCCCATCGAATTTTTACGTTTTACAACCCTTTACACGCTTCGTTAAGGTCACTGAACAGATCACGTCAAATTACCGCGGCATTGCGTTTATCGAAAAAAAACAATCATTTAAAAAAATCCCTCGGGAGGTCCATTGTGAAAGACGATTTAGATGCTTTGTGGTGCAGCGTCAAAAACACAATGAAAAACTGGTGAAGGCACGAGAAATATACTGCTCATCTTTTTTTGACCAAATTTTATTTTATTCAATTAGTTTCTAGTAATACCTTTCGTAATTTCAATTGATCTGTTTAATAGTAACGATATAAGCCTCAGCTCAGCTGAGCTTCGGCGGTTTGCCATCTTGTGTTTACCTTTACATGTTGTTTATTTGCCTCCTGCGCAATGAACCAATAGGAGCATTCGTAAGAAATTGTCGTAAAATCTTTCACCAATCACAACCTGCGTCTAATCTTGACATAATCACCGGATAATGGCGGAAGGTGCTAGTACGGGACCGGCAGAAAGAAGTCCAAATTTGCCCTTGGATCTTATAAATAAGCCTAGCGAAAATCCAGAAAAGTCTCCCTCAAACGAGCGAATTTTCTCTCCAGATTCAGCCAGACGGCATCGATTTTTTAACGAGCCCTCCAAGTTTGCGGCTGTTGTTGGACAAGTCATAGTTCAGAAGAAACATGATGTCTACCAGACTTTGCAGGAGACTTTGGAAGTTCTCAACGATGAAGCAGTCGTGTCGAGGGATTCTCACAAGAAAGAAGGCTTGTGGTGTCATCCCTTTGAAATCCCTCGTCATCCAATAGAACAGATTGAGCTGAAGAATGAAGAAATCGAGCTGCAAAGGCAACATTCAAACTTAATACAGAATTGGACTCCAAATGATATCACGGAGATAGAACAGGTCATGAAGAAAGAGAAAGAAGACCCTGTGGTACAGAGCGATGACCGGTGTACATTTTATCAAAAACTGTCCATTTCGGGTGGAGATATTAGCGGGGTATGTTTATTTTGGTGCTTTAATGTTGTGTATGTCAAATAAAACACAAGTTTAGTACAGCAATTAAGTTTGCATAGCTCGTGTAGGCTAAATAAATATGTAAGGGCCTTTCTTATNACTGCTCGTAAGCTGAAGACTGTTCATTCAGATTTTGATGCGGAAACTCATTATTTTCATTTGAAGACACAGGCTAGTGAAGAAGAGTTTGGTGAGTGTACGACAGTAAGAGGTTTCTTGCGTGTGTTGGTTTTAACAACAAAATGGGGAACTTCCATTTATGATTTCCTCTTTACAGTGGCTGCTTATCCACAATAGTCAGGTTTTTTTTGTCCCTTCTGTATAAAGTGTTTCACTTTACATGTACCTACACTGTACCTTAAATGGCCATCACCCTTTCAAAAAGCCTCTTAATTCTTACCCAGGGGGGCTTTTTTCACAGAGGTTCAGCTGTATCCCTTCAACTCTTGGATGAAAAAGGGTATACTGTAGGAAGAAATAATCCAGGCTAGATATTTTTTGAATGGTTCTGAAGTGAAGAAGAATTTTTTATCAATCTTGTCTATGAGCAGTCAGGGGTTTCAATAACGGCCATGCACTGGACAAATTGACCAGCTGCGAGGACGATTTTGCCCGCCTGGTTTGACTATGTACATGTGGAGGAAAGTTCAGTTCAAAAGTTTTGCCCACCTGTGAAAACCAGTTGGCCTCGTGCTGAACAGTGTTTGGTAAACATACATGTACTGTCTTCTTTTCAGTTTTCTTACTATTATAATTATAATAATTATAGTAACTGAACAATCTTTCTGTTTTTGAAACTTAAGATACCTGCCTTCAGCCATTCTCTGTCCAGTCACCATATGAGATTGATGTCCCGGGTGACTGCGGATACCTGTTTGAAATGATTGATGGCGTCATTCAGATTACAGCTTGCAAAAGGGAAATGTCCAATATGGCTACTGTTAGTGATAGTTCCAAACCTGTGATACACCACAGCCCCAGCCTGGAGGAATTTTTTGAAGATCAAAATATTCTTCTGGCTCTGTCAACCCATGGACCTATGTGAGTAGTTGTTACAGTCAGTGCTGCAAATGACAGTCGGTCATTGAACGTAGTCTGACCAAATTTTGAACATGTCCAACCAATGCCACATTGTGATCGGACATGATGTCNAAACCCTGGGGTTTTAAAAGCCCAAGTTTTTAAATAAAAGTTCATGTGTTAAGCTAATATGGAATTTCCAGAGGGGTGAGGAGCAGGATTTCATAGCAAAACACCTTCTATTTCCATGGGAGGTGTTTGGATACTTTCTGAAACAAACAATAGTTGAATTAACACTTGTGAGCTAACAAGTTTGGAAAGTGTAATTTTAATACTTAACATATGTATCATTCTACTTTTTCTTTAGGATAGGAACACTTTCCATCGGTTTGACAAGTTCAACACTAAATACAATCCTATAGGTAAGAAAGCTTTTGATAAATCATGAAGGTGACAGAGAGATTTGGCAACTTTGCTTTAGAACTAAATTATGTTTTTCTAACTTTAGGTGAAAGCAGGTTGAGGGAAATCTTTCTCAAGACAGACAACCATATCAATGGTCGGTACTTTGCAGAGATGATGAAAGAAGTTATGGCCGACTTGGAAGAAAGCAAGTATCAGAATGCCGAGTACAGGCTCTCCATTTATGGCCGAGCAAAAAATGAGTGGGATGTTTTAGCTTCTTGGGCAGTGAAGAATGATATGTACTCTGATAATGTGCGCTGGCTAATTCAGATTCCACGACTGTAGTGAGTAAACCATTCATTTTGTTAAATTAATACTGAACAAGAAATTTAGTCTAAACAGAAGGATATCACTCATTAGCCTGATACTTTCAGACAGATGTAATACATGTATAGTAAACAGTACCACATAAAGCCAGGGCTTAATAGCTTTCATTTGAATGGTCACACTCTAGATAGGGTTTTATCCACAAAGCAAAAGCTTAGAACCACCTTGTAGAGCGTAATAAACAGTGTCGAATGAAAGTACTGCTTAATAGCTTTCATTTGAATGGTCACACACTAGGGTTTCATCCACAGACTTAAAAGTTAGAACAACTTTGTACAGCATAATAAACAACACCACATGAAAGAACTGCTGAACAGCTTTTATTTGAATGCCCACAGACAGTAGCAGTTTGTCTAGTCATGCTGAATCACTTGTACAAATAAGAGTCAGCTACAAATAAACCGGAAATAAAGTATATGACTTGAATTAGCTCACTTAAATGAAACAATTTGAACTTTGCCTCACAGTGTTGTCAGGCAACATAGCTATGTGCATGTCAATAGACCAATTTCGATATATTAAAATTCAGCCTTAAACAGTAGACCTCAGTACGAGGCTCTGGGGAATAACTGCAGAGTTTGTGGGGTTTATTTCCCAGAGCCTCGTGCTGAGAACTATTGTGTTAGGCTGAATTTTAATATATCGAAATTGGTCTATTGACTTAGTAGCTCAAGTGCTTTTATAATACTTAATTACTGTTGGATCTTATTGCAGTGAACAACTGTACATGTATGAAACCTTTTTCACTGCGTTAACGTGCTTTCTTGTTTGTGTTACTTGACAGTGACATCTATCATTCAAAGGACCTTGTGAAAAATTTCCAAGAGATGCTGGAAAACATTTTCATTCCATTATTTGAAGCGACAGTTAACCCCCAATCTCACCCTGACCTTCACAAGTTTCTCACACAGGTGATGGACTTTCCAAAAGTCTTCATTATTATTTTTTGTATTGTTTCTGTATTTGTTTAGTATTGAGTTCCGGTAAATGATTTCAACCAAACAGTATCAGATGTTTGTTTGACTAGTCTGATCACCCTAATACAGGGGTTGCACTAAAGGCCAAGCACCAGGTAATAGGGAGTTTAAGAAGCTACGACGGCGACGCCAAGGACAACGTCAATTAAAAATTGAATTTGTAATTTACCTACGAATCTCGCGATACTCTTAAGCCATTTACTTTGTTTATCACTGTCTAAACTATCACAAAACTGAATCTGGGACACAGCAATAAATTTGAAATTTGAAATTAGAAATTTAAAAAGTTTGCTGTCGTGGTTCACGTTCTTCAGACAATGCAGAATTTGGTCATTTAAAGTTGTTGTTTTGCAGAGGACAGCAAAGAAATGTACCAAGAATTATAATGCACGTGCACAGCCATTGTTCTCCTCAGTAAAGCTTTTGTTTAGTGATGTTCGCAATGCTGTTGCCGTTGTGGTTTTCTTAAACTCCCTATTAATTTGACCAGCTGTGAAAGCAATGGACCTTTTTATCGATGTCACACTGTTCCAATTTTACCATTCAAACAAAAAAACCTCAATGCTTGATTTATTATGCCAAATTTAGTAAACATGTTAAGTTTTTTGAGAATCCGTTGCAAACTCATGAAAATATGGGACCCCAAACTTTGTACAAAGAGTTTGTAACAGATTGAAACTTCACATATTTATTTTAGCATCATAAATTGATCTACCGAAGTGTTTTTTTCTGTTTCAACAATCTCCGAGGAATTTTTTCGAAGAAGCTTTGTTCAAAACGTTTTGGCTGCCTGTGACCATCAAATGCCTTCTTGAATTTTAAACCTAATGAAACCCCTGCTAAATGAGAAGAAAATGTTAACCCCCCAAAAAGACCTTACCAAAATCTTTCACTCAATAAAGTCACTGCAAAATTCCCTCCCTCCCTCCCTCTCCGAAAAAATAAAAGGTCTTCAGATTGCAAATTCCAGACCCAAGGGGGATTTTGCACCTCTCTGTCACTATTGTAATTTGCAACTCCTTATGTTTTGCCCAGTAAGAGTCACCACCAAATTTCTACCCCTGCCCGTCATTATATTCCTGAGTACCCCCTTGTTAACAGTCTCTAACCCATTTACCATGTAAACAGGTTGCTGGCTTTGACAGTGTAGATGACGAGAGTAAAGCAGAGACCCATTTGTTTACAAAAAGGAGTCCTTTGCCCGTAGACTGGAACACCAATGATAATCCGCCATACTCTTATTATCTCTATTACATGTACTCCAACATGGTGGTCCTCAACCATTTGAGAAAGTAGGTCATCTTGCTTTGTAGTCCACAAGTGTTTTTCTTTTATTCGGCAAAGATTGTACAGGGAAGAAACACGTTCTGGCTCCAGTTGTTCAAAAGATAGATACATAGGCATACGGGCACCTTTGATTTGGGGGCAGTGATGACCTTCTTGCCTGAAAAATTTGCATAATGTGTGAGTTTTGAAATTGGGATACAAATGCCCACAAATAATTTATTTGCAGTAAAAACATTAATTTAATTTAAATCATTCACAATTCCCTTATCTCGAAACATCTTGGAATTTCTTCTCCCGAGTACTGTTGCCCAAATCATAAGCACTTTGTACGAAAAATGTAAAACATTTTCGAGACTGGGGGCTGCAGCACCATGCCCCCACCCCGTCCCCTCCAGCTTGTACACCTATGGATAGATAATACTAATCCATTAGATTAATCATTATCCAGAAGATAGTGTAGTATATCTGTCGTGACCAGTGATCTATCTGATAGTGTTATCCAACCATTTAACAACTGGCCTCTGGAACTTTGGAGGTCAAGAGTGGTCTGGGGTAGAGTGGGGCATGTTGAGGTGGGCAGCAGTGGCGTGGGGTGTGGACTGGAGTGACGTGATGTGTTTTGTGGTGTAGTTAAAATTAATGTTAAAAATAACATGATAAACCTGGGTTAGAAGTAGAAAACAACTGACAAGCTGTGTTTTTCTCACTTTTCCTACTCTGTCCTTCTTGGCCTTATTTTCTTAGCCGCTTTTCGCTAGTCTGATCTTGAACACAATCTGAGGACTTGGTGCTAACTGCTGTTTAGCACCTCACAAGATCTTGCAATGTCTTCTGTCTGTAAAAAATCTTTTCAACCTTGTAAGTGGCAGACCTTTATTATCCTTTCTAGGCCATGTACCAGTAAGTAATACAGAATGCAAATTATGAGAGATGAAAGGCAAAATTTTGTTGAAGTAATGAAATCAAGTTCAAAGGAGTCTGTTTTTATTTTACGTGAAAGCATTTATGAACTGATTTTTGAACTAATTTGTGTGTTTTCCACAGAGAGCGTGGCTTTAACACCTTTGTATTGCGACCTCACTGTGGTGAAGCAGGACCTGCCCATCATTTGGTTTCAGCCTTTATGCTTGCTGAGAACATCAATCATGGTCTTCTTCTCAGAAAGGTGCGTAAGTTACTTTTCTACTAAAAGTGGTCCTCCCGCAACCTTCCCCTGCAGCCATTTTGGCAGGACCTGCCGATCCTTGCATACGGCTGGCGTGCCTGAAATTTGAATTGACCAATCAGTATTCAGCAGGTAGGATAACCTAACTGTCCTTTCATCAATGTATAAAGTTAACAGGAATAGCATTGAAATCAGGCAACTTTTCTCACTAGAGATGGATTTACATGTAAGGTAGATATTCACGAAAAGGGATTTACAATTCCCAAAACCATATCAGATGGTAAAAAGTGAAAGATCTGAAACATTTTGTGTCTCCAAGCTTCCAATTTGGCGCCAAAAATGGGTCGCCGGCATCTGGCATGGCAACTCGCCCGTGGTTCGTTGAATGTTGCCAGGTAGGGTAATAGTTGTTTTATTTTGAACAAAATATGCTGTTCCTCGTCAAATTAAACCCGGAATTCTCAAGTTAACCATTGGAAGAGGCCAAAGCATTGCCTTTATTTTTGTTAGCTTCAAAGAAAAAGGCCATTATCGTGTACTTTCGGTAGGACAGTTAAGTTTTGACTGCCGCTCATACTGCAGGCACANATCAAATGAGGGCTTATAAGCTAATTGTTAATATTGTCAAATGTGAAACACGGGACCAAAGGCGATTTATTGTCGACCAAAAATTCCGGTTTGAATTTCCGGAAATTATCAGTAGCAAATGGATCAGAATTTGTCGGAACATTTCTGGAAAAGAATAGAATCTCGCGAGGTATACCCAAATTTTTGAAAATTTCTCACCGAGAATTTCCGTTCTTTTGAATTTTTCTCCCGGAATTTCAAGGATTTTTCGGTTGTGTGGTTCGCATTTCGGAAATTCAACAGTTTTTGAATTTTCCAGAAACTCTCCCAGGGTATTTCCGTACGTTTGCTCCAGTTTCGAAACTTGCAGAATATTTTTGAAATTGAAAGCGCCCCAAGTTTGCTTCTAATGTGATTGACATTTGACAGGTGAAACGTCATTGGATTGGCGACGATTACATGAAAGAAGGAGTAGCGGGGAATGACGTACACAGAACCAATGTCCCCGATATCCGCGTGGCATTCCGTCACGAGACTTTGGTGGAGGAATTAAGCACGATCTGCACTGCTGCACGTGTTTGAACCACGCCATTTACACGTGTCCAGATTCATACTGCACGTGTTCACAATTCATATTCTTCCCACGACAGTCTAAGTGAAGCAAAACTCAGGACTGAGTTTACAAGAAGGCAAAACAATTATAGCAGTATGGTCTTAATTATTTTTAAAAGTAATTCAATGAAACAATGCTCACAGTGATAGCGTTTTTATTTTTTTTGACGGCATTTTTTGAATACAATGCAAATAGTTCAGATCAAAAAGAGACATTCTATATTGGCGTTATTTTAGTTGAATTTAACAAGTACTCAATTTTAAACTGAAAAAATATATATATATGTCATATATCATATTTACATAATTTTGAAAGGTTATTCAACGGTTGTTACAATTAATTATTTAGAAACTTAGTACTTAAGTTTGGCTGAAACTGTTAGAGTTATTTATTTGAGCTCATATTTCAATTTATAGCGTAAACATTAGTCCCAACTTATCTGTCTTTTTTCCGAAATATGTGTGGTTCCAGAAAATATCTATACCCATCCAAAGGAGGGTTATTGAAAAAATCCAAGGGGCGGCGGCGTCTCAAAAACCAGCATTTTGTTAAGGAAAGCATGAACCAAAACTTGAATTTCCAGCAGTTTGGGGAGGGGGGGAGGTGGGTGGGCATCAAGTTAAAAAACCTTCCGTGGGAGGGGTATGGATATTTTCTGAAACAACACAATGTATGGTATGTACAAAATATGGGTTATTTAAGTTTTATTTTAAACTGAATATCATCTTTGGCGGGGTACGCTAGCATAGATATGATAAACTTAATGTACAGAGCAAATTATCTATTCAGTCATCGGTAGTCAATTCAATTAAAGTTTTCAGCTACAAAGCGTCTGTATATTTTGTTTTACTGTAGTTGTGGGATAAACAACACTTAAAAAGTTCGCCTTTTACTGTTGTAGCATCCTCATAGGATGCAAATTTTCAAGAGCGCCCTCGAGGAGAAAATTCCAGTTCTTTCTTCCTTGTCAATGTGAAACTCATTATGACGTCATATATGTTACTATGGTACTTATCAGCTTTATGAGGCATTTTCAAATTTTTAGAACAAAAATTTGGCACCAATCGTTTGGGGGAATGGAATGTTCAGTAGTTGCTAGAAAGGGAAAAAGGCCCTCGAAACATGAAAAGTTGCCGAAAAGTTGCCGAGCAACTTGTGGAAATGCGACTGAGTAGGGAGAAAACGAGGAGGGAATTTCCCAGGTCAACCCATTTGTCGAATCCCATTCGGAAAATCACTCAGATGCAGTTTTTGTGGTCAATTAGCTTCATGTCTGTTGTATTTTTTGCAGAATTTGTTGAAATTCGACCAATTTTCTGAACGGTTTTATCCTTCTTTGTTCAAAAGGTGATCAATTATAATTGACTTGGATACCTTTAAACGCTCAAGAAATTTTATCAAGAGTTTTGGTCCACTTTATAAGGGATCCCGGGCTAACGATTTACAATGTAAGGAAGTAAAACTCACTACTTCAGTCACACGTACTGCCAAATATTTCTTGGTGAACTAGAATCAAAAGGGTTATAAAAGGACAACGCCAGGAGTCTANTGTATTGTTTCTGTATTTGTTTAGTATTGAGTTCCGGTAAATGATTTCAACCAAACAGTATCAGATGTTTGTTTGACTAGTCTGATCACCCTAATACAGGGGTTGCACTAAAGGCCAAGCACCAGGTAATAGGGAGTTTAAGAAGCTACGACGGCGACGCCAAGGACAACGTCAATTAAAAATTGAATTTGTAATTTACCTACGAATCTCGCGATACTCTTAAGCCATTTACTTTGTTTATCACTGTCTAAACTATCACAAAACTGAATCTGGGACACAGCAATAAATTTGAAATTTGAAATTAGAAATTTAAAAAGTTTGCTGTCGTGGTTCACGTTCTTCAGACAATGCAGAATTTGGTCATTTAAAGTTGTTGTTTTGCAGAGGACAGCAAAGAAATGTACCAAGAATTATAATGCACGTGCACAGCCATTGTTCTCCTCAGTAAAGCTTTTGTTTAGTGATGTTCGCAATGCTGTTGCCGTTGTGGTTTTCTTAAACTCCCTATTAATTTGACCAGCTGTGAAAGCAATGGACCTTTTTATCGATGTCACACTGTTCCAATTTTACCATTCAAACAAAAAAACCTCAATGCTTGATTTATTATGCCAAATTTAGTAAACATGTTAAGTTTTTTGAGAATCCGTTGCAAACTCATGAAAATATGGGACCCCAAACTTTGTACAAAGAGTTTGTAACAGATTGAAACTTCACATATTTATTTTAGCATCATAAATTGATCTACCGAAGTGTTTTTTTCTGTTTCAACAATCTCCGAGGAATTTTTTCGAAGAAGCTTTGTTCAAAACGTTTTGGCTGCCTGTGACCATCAAATGCCTTCTTGAATTTTAAACCTAATGAAACCCCTGCTAAATGAGAAGAAAATGTTAACCCCCCAAAAAGACCTTACCAAAATCTTTCACTCAATAAAGTCACTGCAAAATTCCCTCCCTCCCTCCCTCTCCGAAAAAATAAAAGGTCTTCAGATTGCAAATTCCAGACCCAAGGGGGATTTTGCACCTCTCTGTCACTATTGTAATTTGCAACTCCTTATGTTTTGCCCAGTAAGAGTCACCACCAAATTTCTACCCCTGCCCGTCATTATATTCCTGAGTACCCCCTTGTTAACAGTCTCTAACCCATTTACCATGTAAACAGGTTGCTGGCTTTGACAGTGTAGATGACGAGAGTAAAGCAGAGACCCATTTGTTTACAAAAAGGAGTCCTTTGCCCGTAGACTGGAACACCAATGATAATCCGCCATACTCTTATTATCTCTATTACATGTACTCCAACATGGTGGTCCTCAACCATTTGAGAAAGTAGGTCATCTTGCTTTGTAGTCCACAAGTGTTTTTCTTTTATTCGGCAAAGATTGTACAGGGAAGAAACACGTTCTGGCTCCAGTTGTTCAAAAGATAGATACATAGGCATACGGGCACCTTTGATTTGGGGGCAGTGATGACCTTCTTGCCTGAAAAATTTGCATAATGTGTGAGTTTTGAAATTGGGATACAAATGCCCACAAATAATTTATTTGCAGTAAAAACATTAATTTAATTTAAATCATTCACAATTCCCTTATCTCGAAACATCTTGGAATTTCTTCTCCCGAGTACTGTTGCCCAAATCATAAGCACTTTGTACGAAAAATGTAAAACATTTTCGAGACTGGGGGCTGCAGCACCATGCCCCCACCCCGTCCCCTCCAGCTTGTACACCTATGGATAGATAATACTAATCCATTAGATTAATCATTATCCAGAAGATAGTGTAGTATATCTGTCGTGACCAGTGATCTATCTGATAGTGTTATCCAACCATTTAACAACTGGCCTCTGGAACTTTGGAGGTCAAGAGTGGTCTGGGGTAGAGTGGGGCATGTTGAGGTGGGCAGCAGTGGCGTGGGGTGTGGACTGGAGTGACGTGATGTGTTTTGTGGTGTAGTTAAAATTAATGTTAAAAATAACATGATAAACCTGGGTTAGAAGTAGAAAACAACTGACAAGCTGTGTTTTTCTCACTTTTCCTACTCTGTCCTTCTTAGCCTTATTTTCTTAGTCGCTTTTCGCTAGTCTGATCTTGAACACAATCTGAGGACTTGGTGCTAACTGCTGTTTAGCACCTCACAAGATCTTGCAATGTCTTCTGTCTGTAAAAAATCTTTTCAACCTTGTAAGTGGCAGACCTTTATTATCCTTTCTAGGCCATGTACCAGTAAGTAATACAGAATGCAAATTATGAGAGATGAAAGGCAAAATTTTGTTGAAGTAATGAAATCAAGTTCAAAGGAGTCTGTTTTTATTTTACGTGAAAGCATTTATGAACTGATTTTTGAACTAATTTGTGTGTTTTCCACAGAGAGCGTGGCTTTAACACCTTTGTATTGCGACCTCACTGTGGTGAAGCAGGACCTGCCCATCATTTGGTTTCAGCCTTTATGCTTGCTGAGAACATCAATCATGGTCTTCTTCTCAGAAAGGTGCGTAAGTTACTTTTCTACTAAAAGTGGTCCTCCCGCAACCTTCCCCTGCAGCCATTTTGGCAGGACCTGCCGATCCTTGCATACGGCTGGCGTGCCTGAAATTTGAATTGACCAATCAGTATTCAGCAGGTAGGATAACCTAACTGTCCTTTCATCAATGTATAAAGTTAACAGGAATAGCATTGAAATCAGGCAACTTTTCTCACTAGAGATGGATTTACATGTAAGGTAGATATTCACGAAAAGGGATTTACAATTCCCAAAACCATATCAGATGGTAAAAAGTGAAAGATCTGAAACATTTTGTGTCTCCAAGCTTCCAATTTGGCGCCAAAAATGGGTCGCCGGCATCTGGCATGGCAACTCGCCCGTGGTTCGTTGAATGTTGCCAGGTAGGGTAATAGTTGTTTTATTTTGAACAAAATATGCTGTTCCTCGTCAAATTAAACCCGGAATTCTCAAGTTAACCATTGGAAGAGGCCAAAGCATTGCCTTTATTTTTGTTAGCTTCAAAGAAAAAGGCCATTATCGTGTACTTTCGGTAGGACAGTTAAGTTTTGACTGCCGCTCATACTGCAGGCACAACCGCCATAGGCAAGGATCTTGTGTAGGCCTCATCAGCCCTCAGTGAGCCCACACTAGACAAGGAAAACCTTCTTAAATCTTTGTCCATGAAGAAAAGCCATGATGATGAAAAGTGAAGCTACTTATTCACAGAAGATGATCAAGGTGTATTTTAACATGAAGCTGTTTGATTGACAGGTGCCAGCCCTCCAATACCTCTACTACTTGGCTCAAATTGGTATTGCCATGTCACCCCTTAGCAACAACTCCCTCTTCCTTAACTACCAGAGGAACCCTCTGCCAGATTTCCTGGCCCGTGGACTGGTGGTATCTTTGTCGACAGATGACCCACTTATGTTCCATTTTACCAAGGCAAGTTTTAGCTTTACAGCATCACATAATGTGGTCATATAATTTTAGGATATTTTGAGGGAAAAATGTGTTCTTTAAGATCCAGGAAAAGTCATATTTGAAGGTTAATGTGGGGTTTAATAATGGGGGTTTGATAATAGCTGTGGCTAGATGAATAGTTGTTCAACTCATATAGTAAAGAATCTGGGTTGAGTGCAAAAGTTTTAGTTCTGCTCGTTAGGTCCAGCCAGTATTATGACGATCTCGTGACCACAAATCAAAGAGCACACTAAATGACAAAGTAGAAGCTTCAGATGTAATGCTTCAAACGTAAGATCCTTGGAATACATAGAAACCAGAAGATAATACCCGAAAATGATGCTGCAAACATCAGCTGAAACATTCTGAAATAAAAGAGTAGCTTTTCAACAGGCCATATTCGTATTCTCGTTATTGGACATTAAGTAGCTTGCAGTGTAGGCTCACGCGGGGGAATACCATTAAAAAGAGATTAATGTCATTTGCATTTCAAAGACTCCGCGCATTAGCCTCACTTGCAAGCTAGCTCCAGTCCAATACCGACGATATGAGTGTGGACTACTGATTTCGGCTTTTCGAGTTTCTTTATCAAGATATCAGTCCTCTTGTCTGATTGCCTTAAAAAATGTTGAAAATTCATTCTGAGTATTTGGTGGTACAGCAAGAAAATATCTAAAGCTGATGGTTTGCTGTATTCTCATCATTTATTTGCTTAATATTGTATTGACTCTGTAAGGAGAATTGAGATCCTGATCAATGTTGAACATCAACAGGAACCTCTGATGGAGGAGTACAGTATTGCAGCGCAGGTGTGGAAACTCAGTCCATGTGACATGTCAGAATTGGCCAGAAACAGTGTTGTTATGAGTGGCTTTGAGGATGAGGTACATGTCTCGTATTTCTATTCGCTCAAATCAAATGAGGGCTTATAAGCTAATTGTTAATATTGTCAAATGTGAAACACGGGACCAAAGGCGATTTATTGTCGACCAAAAATTCCGGTTTGAATTTCCGGAAATTATCAGTAGCAAATGGATCAGAATTTGTCGGAACATTTCTGGAAAAGAATAGAATCTCGCGAGGTATACCCAAATTTTTGAAAATTTCTCACCGAGAATTTCCGTTCTTTTGAATTTTTCTCCCGGAATTTCAAGGATTTTTCGGTTGTGTGGTTCGCATTTCGGAAATTCAACAGTTTTTGAATTTTCCAGAAACTCTCCCAGGGTATTTCCGTACGTTTGCTCCAGTTTCGAAACTTGCAGAATATTTTTGAAACTGAAAGCGCCCCAAGTTTGCTTCTAATGTGATTGACATTTGACAGGTGAAACGTCATTGGATTGGCGACGATTACATGAAAGAAGGAGTAGCGGGGAATGACGTACACAGAACCAATGTCCCCGATATCCGCGTGGCATTCCGTCACGAGACTTTGGTGGAGGAATTAAGCACGATCTGCACTGCTGCACGTGTTTGAACCACGCCATTTACACGTGTCCAGATTCATACTGCACGTGTTCACAATTCATATTCTTCCCACGACAGTCTAAGTGAAGCAAAACTCAGGACTGAGTTTACAAGAAGGCAAAACAATTATAGCAGTATGGTCTTAATTATTTTTAAAAGTAATTCAATGAAACAATGCTCACAGTGATAGCGTTTTTATTTTTTTTGACGGCATTTTTTGAATACAATGCAAATAGTTCAGATCAAAAAGAGACATTCTATATTGGCGTTATTTTAGTTGAATTTAACAAGTACTCAATTTTAAACTGAAAAAAATATATATATGTCATATATCATATTTACATAATTTTGAAAGGTTATTCAACGGTTGTTACAATTAATTATTTAGAAACTTAGTACTTAAGTTTGGCTGAAACTGTTAGAGTTATTTATTTGAGCTCATATTTCAATTTATAGCGTAAACATTAGTCCCAACTTATCTGTCTTTTTTCCGAAATATGTGTGGTTCCAGAAAATATCTATACCCATCCAAAGGAGGGTTATTGAAAAAATCCAAGGGGCGGCGGCGTCTCAAAAACCAGCATTTTGTTAAGGAAAGCATGAACCAAAACTTGAATTTCCAGCAGTTTGGGGAGGGGGGGAGGTGGGTGGGCATCAAGTTAAAAAACCTTCCGTGGGAGGGGTATGGATATTTTCTGAAACAACACAATGTATGGTATGTACAAAATATGGGTTATTTAAGTTTTATTTTAAACTGAATATCATCTTTGGCGGGGTACGCTAGCATAGATATGATAAACTTAATGTACAGAGCAAATTATCTATTCAGTCATCGGTAGTCAATTCAATTAAAGTTTTCAGCTACAAAGCGTCTGTATATTTTGTTTTACTGTAGTTGTGGGATAAACAACACTTAAAAAGTTCGCCTTTTACTGTTGTAGCATCCTCATAGGATGCAAATTTTCAAGAGCGCCCTCGAGGAGAAAATTCCAGTTCTTTCTTCCTTGTCAATGTGAAACTCATTATGACGTCATATATGTTACTATGGTACTTATCAGCTTTATGAGGCATTTTCAAATTTTTAGAACAAAAATTTGGCACCAATCGTTTGGGGGAATGGAATGTTCAGTAGTTGCTAGAAAGGGAAAAAGGCCCTCGAAACATGAAAAGTTGCCGAAAAGTTGCCGAGCAACTTGTGGAAATGCGACTGAGTAGGGAGAAAACGAGGAGGGAATTTCCCAGGTCAACCCATTTGTCGAATCCCATTCGGAAAATCACTCAGATGCAGTTTTTGTGGTCAATTAGCTTCATGTCTGTTGTATTTTTTGCAGAATTTGTTGAAATTCGACCAATTTTCTGAACGGTTTTATCCTTCTTTGTTCAAAAGGTGATCAATTATAATTGACTTGGATACCTTTAAACGCTCAAGAAATTTTATCAAGAGTTTTGGTCCACTTTATAAGGGATCCCGGGCTAACGATTTACAATGTAAGGAAGTAAAACTCACTACTTCAGTCACACGTACTGCCAAATATTTCTTGGTGAACTAGAATCAAAAGGGTTATAAAAGGACAACGCCAGGAGTCTAGTAATTAATGCGCATTCTTGCCCAAATGTTTTATCGCGTCGTAAAGCATTAATTCTTTTTGGTGGAGGAGGAGGTAGGCAATTTCCCAAATAAAAACATACGCAGCGGAAAAAGAGAAAATTTTAACAAGCAGAGATCCAACGTGCTACCTCACGCCCTCGTCGTGGGTCCTGGGCAACGTTAAGGCGCCAAGCGGGGGTCTGGTGAAGGTACAAAGGCCAGCCACCACGTGCTGAATGAAGCCTTAGCAAATCTTCGGGGACATGGGTCCCCAGCTTCAGAATTGGTTCATGGAATGCTTGTAGTATGTACGAGCAAGGAAGATGTGCCCAGATAGTGAAGGAGATGAAGAGATACAGTTACTATTCTTGGAGTAAGCGAGATGAGGTGGAACACCTGTCGATTATTGCGGAAGCATTTGCAGAGACCATCCTGTACTCTGGAAACCCCAACGAAGGTGATCCTCATATGAAGGGAGTGGGTATTATCTTTTCAAGGATGGCTGCAGATAGCCCGCTAGCAAGGCAGCCGGTCTCGGAACGAATCATCACAGCCAGATTCGCCTCCAAATGCCAAAGGATGTGAATTATACAAGACTATGCTTCAACTAACGATGCAACTGGCGAGGAAAAAGAGGCTTCCTACCACCAGCTTCAAACAGAAGACGATCGAACACTAAGAAGAGAAATGACCCTTGTCGTAGGAGATTTTAAAGGTTGAAATTGGCAATTACTATGCTGACTGATGGAGACTGTCGTAAGTTAAGATAAGATGAGATAAGATAAGAACTTTATTAACGTGTCGAAGTCGCTAGCATACAATGTATACTAATTGGGAAGACCTAACTACGATTACTTATCTAATGATTAATAAAATATGAAATACACGTACGTATTTAAGTGTTTTAAAATATGTATAGGGCAGCATGGACTAGATAGACAACATGAATGAGAACGGTGAAAGCCTCAGTTGCTGATTCCTGCGTCATCAATGAGTTGGTAATTGGGGTCACTATCCTCCCCCACAAACCATGTCACAAAGCTACATGGAGATCGCCCGATGGAAGAACTGAGAACCAGATTGATCACATCACAATAAACCGACGATGGAGAAGTTCTCTTAAGAACTTTAGAAGGCGATCCTTGCCTAGGAGAAGACGAAAGAGACGTGAAAGAGGACTGGAATTCTATCAAGGCTATGTACATCTGTACATCAAAACAGGTAAAGATGTGTCAGGAAAAGTGAGAGGAAAAGAAGGGTACAGCTCATGATCACGGGCGATCCTTGAAAGAAGATTGAAGAAAGAAGGCAACTGAAAGCAGTACTTGATAGGGACCCCGGGGTGGGCACTCTCTAATATGGGCTATATACAGTAAGTATACGTGCGACCCTATCGGGTATAGGTTTTTAGCTGTTTTGGTCATAAATAGGGTTGCAAGTAAGGGAGATCTTAACAGACTGTATCAAACAACAAGAATTTACAGCGTACGAAGACCTAACCAAATGCCCAATAAGGAAGGGGGCATCCTTGCCAAAGCTGATGAATAACTTGCAAGCGGAAGGGACACTTTAAAGTGGTGCCTAATCCCCCCCCCCCCAACCCTTAAACCAAGCTGTCCTACAGCCTAGAGAGCTGTCGATAAAGATAGACACCATAACCAGGGTCGAAATTAGATCAGCCAGTAAAAGCCTCAAGATTGGAAAGGCGACTGGGATCGATAATGATCTGGAGAGATGCTGGATCGAATGAAGCTGGCACTATACTCATTGTTGAGAGACGAACAAGCTGGTTTTCGCCGTGAGCGTTCATGCACAGATCAAATAGCCACTCATAGAATTATTATTGAACAGTCATTGGAATGGAACACTGGACTCTATCTGGCCTTTGATTCGGTGGACCGAGAGGCAATGTGGCAAATCCTGCAGCATTACAGAGTACCAGGAAAGATCATTAATATTATTCGATGCCTATACGGCGGCTTTGTGTGTCTTGTGATCCACTTTGGATTCCTGTCGGAACCATTTCAAGTAAGAACCGGAGTGAGACAAGAGTGCCTACTTTCGCCCATGCTACTTGTCTTGGTAGTTCTAGACTGGGTTACCAGACAAGCATATCATGATGGAACGCGAAGAACCGGTATACAGCTCACTCAAAAATGAAAGTTAGAAGACCTCGACTTCGCCGACAGCCTTTGTCTCCTAAGCCACAAACCTCAGCACACGCAGGAGAAGATGGTGCCACTACAGACTGCATGTGCAAGAAGTAGGTCTTAAGATCAACGCTGGAAAGATCCAGAGAAATGAGAATCCAGGCTAGAGATCGCAACCATCTCCACGCTGGGAATGAAGACACCCAACAGACAGACAACTTCACTTACCTTGGCAGCAAATTGAGCGTGACAGGAGGAACAGAAGAGGATGTCACCGCACGGATCAGGAAAGCGCAGCCAGCTTTTACATGTCTCAGAGCGGTACTCTCGAAAGCAAGAGCTCTCTCCCTGAAGACAAGGTTGACAAGGTTGGTGATATTCAACTCTAATTTCAAATCGGTACTTGTATATGGGTCGGAAACCTGGCACCTAACCAAAGCTCTGCTTTCCAAAGTGCAGACGTTTGTGAAAAAAAATACTTCGCCAGATACTCGGTATCTTTTGGNCATTAATATTATTCGATGCCTATACGGCGGCTTTGTGTGTCTGGTGATCCACTGTGGATTCCTGTCGGAACCATTTCAAGTAAGAACCGGAGTGAGACAAGAGTGCCTACTTTCGCCCATACTACTTGTCTTGGTAGTTCTAGACTGGGTCACCAGACAAGTATATCATGATGGAACGCAAAGAACCGGCATACAGTTGACTCTAAGATGAAAGTTAGAAGACCTGGACTTCGCCGACAGCCTTTGCCCCCTAAGCCACAAGCTTCAGTACGCGCAGGAGAAGATGGTGGCACTCCAGACTGCATGTGAAAGAAGTAGGTCTTAAGATCAACACTGGAAAGATCCAGAGAAATGAGAATCCAGGCTAGAGATCGCAACCATCTCCACGCTGGGAATGAAGATA